ATTTCCTTCACGAGATAGAAGTCTCACCAGTTCTTAAGTATGTTAGGGCCTAGACGAAACGCCCCAGCTTAAGAAAAATGAATATCTTTTGAAGGAAAGGTGGTGTAACTACTGTGGGACTCGGCCTCCTGACCAGTTTTTGGTCAAGTTTCCACCACTTTTGTCAAACTTGAAGAGGGGTTCCTGGATAAGTCGACATGACTAACACAGTGTGATCTTACCGGGTTTTTGGATCATGTAAATCTGAAAAGAGCTATGTGCAAACACCCAGATCAGATTGAATGAGTGAATTCGAAAGGAATTAATTCTATGAGCAAGTTTCGATTATTCTAGGACAAAAGAATTAGTTAAATCGTCGTCAGCAGCAAAACGTTTTATTCGTTTGGTCCAGTTGCAATCAAAAATTAATTATTGTTCACAAGAAGGAAAAGAAATTGTATGTTTTCAATCGGCTCAATATCTGTTATCGTATCTTTCTCATGTTATTTTCTCGCAGATGGATTTTAAAGGTGAAATTACATTTGATCATGTTTCATTTAACTATCCATCAAGACCAAAGGTAACAATTTTGAATGAATTTACATTGGATATTAAAGAAGGGCATCGAATTGCTATACTTGGTTTGTGTCATATTTTACAATTGCTGTTTTCTTCTTTCCATATACATTGACATCACCTTGGTAATTTAAGGTCCTTCTGGCTGTGGAAAATCTACAATTATTCAGCTTATCGAACGCTTTTACGATGTCAATCGAGGCAATTTGGTACTGATACATTATTAACTAATGCTTTACTAAGAGCCTAAAGATGTGATTGAGGATTACTACTCGTCTATCAGGTCATAAGAGACTGAGGTCTGTGCAGTTAGTTCAGAGTATGTAATGATGGTCTAAAGTCTTGCTGCCAAATTTCACACGGCTGGACATTCTGCTATAATTAGCAGCACCGTCAGAAAGTAAGGAAAAACTATTTGGCAACTAAATTTCATACATGTAAAGCCCGGAGAGTCATTTTGACTTCTCAAAAGTTGAAAAATGACTTCAACTTTTAAAATGGCAGTTGCGACTGTTTAACTTTTGAATTAAAAGAGTGTGTTCAGCGTTTCCCTTTTTGAAGTTCAAGAATAGTATTTTCAATTTCTGACATACTGTTTTGAGCTTTTAATCATACAGTACCGATTATGCACAGTGGGCATTTTTTGCTAGAGCAGGCGGACTTTAGCTTTATGAGTGAACTAAAATTTCATGAACCATTTTTTTATAGGTTTTTCATGATCCTCTT